TTGATTGCAAATACAAGTTATTTTACGTTTGATTCATTATTTTTATGGCTTGTCTCGGCTCGGCTATTTGTACATACATTATTGTTTTAAGCTTTATCTTAGTATATCGAATGTTTTCAATAATAATTAAAAAAAAAAAATTCTATATCTACGCTATTACATACTCAATTAAACCGTGTCACGTGCATCTTATCCTACATTATTAAAAGAGGGAGTTTTGATGGCACTATTCATAAGCCTTTCGGCCACCTGCCTGCGTTGTTGAGCCACGTTAGCCGAGTGAGCCATTTTGTGGGAACAAATGATAAAAACACGCTTAGATACATACTAGAAAACGTGTTAATAATTTCCAGCTTTCGAACACTGTATCAAATTTGAACATACTTTCAAAGATATACTTTATTCTGGGACATGTAACTTGTTGAAGTCCAATCTCAATGCCGGTTCATGTCATATAAATATATACTGTAGGTATAATAAATATTCATATCATATGTCACGAACTTGATTTCATGAAACAATATCTTCTGAAAATATTCCACGATTTCCTCTGTTTGCACGCATCATAAACATGATACCTTTTGATGAAAAAAATAAAGTTTTAAAAACACGGCTATTTCACTTGTACATGGATGATAAAATCTGTCTTTCGGTGCTTCATTGATATTTGTTTCATTAAGCTTTGACAACCGCCCTATTAAGTAGCCAACTACACCGGTAGCAAGTGCACTACACGTGCGTCTGACTAGTATTCATAAAATCCATACATCTCTTAGAGCATTTCCAAAAGACTCTATTTTTAAAGAACATATTCTATCATTTGGAGAGCATCTATAAATTTAGAAAGTTAAAATTTTGAAGTACTCTAACAACCTCTTTATATTTAACACTTAATTTTACTACTCCCAAAAAATATTTATTATTTTTCTTTATCTTTTATTTTAACTAACTTTTAAATGTTGACTCTTTAAAATAGATAGCATCTCATGTTTAAAGAGTCTCTTGGAGATGCTCTTAAACAAGTGAAACCTTCAACAAATAACATTCTTTGGCTGCACAAATGATGTTCATAAAGGAGTTCACCGTGAAAATTTCCGATTACAATCAAGGGCGTTAGAACAAACAAAAGGAACGACGGGAAGGGAAAAATACATAAAAATGATACTGGTGAAGACGATGAAATTAACTAGTTTTGCTTCGTTATCCTCTTGTCCCTTATCGGCAACTCAGCGGGTTTTTGCGCCTCATGAGGATGAATTGGACCAGTGTACACCTTAAGATGGTTGAATAATGCTCTGCCAAGCTGCACGAGCACCAGAAGAAACATCTAAAGATGGCATGAATAAAAGTAGTGGTTGCCTAGCTATCTCACAACATTTAGCATTTGTTTGGCAGAACTCATTTTTACTTTTCTTCAAACTCATTTTCAACCACAACATCATTTTTCACTTCAAATAACATCTCTCCCAAACAAACACTAAGTATCCTAGTATGTAAGGTAAATATAAGTGTAGCTTATATCAAGAAGTTGGGAGGTGTTTGAAATTTTGATTAGGCTCGTAAACTAATGAAGTTCAGAGTACGTTTCTGCTTAATATCTTGGTTCAATAGCAACGAATTTGCACGAGGGAATAGGAATCTTCCAATAATCTCTTCTAGTGTTGGTCATAAGGGGAAGAATGTGGCGGTGGTGACAAGAAGAACACAGTGGCAATGGGAAGGTGGGATGGCTAGTAAACTTTCAGATGACTGATCAAAGCATTTTTGTCACTCTAATTTAGATTTATTTTGATTACGAGTCTACAAGATAGTAATTCCTTTATATTTGAGGTGCTTTAGTGAGAAATTAATTTATAAAAATGAAAAAGAAGAAAAGATTTAATCAAAATATATACAATAAGAACACTGAGGCTCAAGGGATCACAAAGGTTCAGAAAGAGAGACAGATGTCACAGAGTAATAGAAACTCACCCTTCCTTTCGGAAGCATTCCACGGACAGCATGCTCAATAATTCTTTCAGGTATTCTTTTCTGAAGCTGATCAAATGTTTCAACTGTCATCCCACCTGGTCTCCCCGAGTGCCTCCTATAGAGCTTTTGAGTTCTCTTCTTCCCAGACACAGCAACTTTATCGGCGTTGACCTTTGATGCAGTAAATTGAATGATTTAAGTATTGAAGCAAAATATGATTATATGAAGAAAAATAATTTCTCCTTCTAATAGTTTAAGCTTTTGGATGAGGGGCTTTTTACAAGATATCAAAGCATACAAGGTTCTCAGTTCAATTCTCAGTGCACCCATTGAAGAAGATTCCGTGTGGTAAGGCATTTGATTAGAAAATGAAATTGATGCGTTTCACATGACGACCTACCACTATGACAAAGGCCCCCATGTCGACACTAGGAGTGAAGGTAGCCAGATTTTTCCCTCTAATATAGATAGCAATTGTTGATGCCAATCTCCCAAGAATCTTGTCAGATGCATCTACCACATACCATGGTTTGTCTGTATTAACATGATCTGCAGCTTTCGGATACCATGTTTTATTCCAAACGTCCTGGAATAAGAAAACAACTATGGATGAGTTTCAAAGTCTTAACTTGATTGGATTCTGAAAGAAAAGTACGTGCATATTTGCATGAGCTTCAAAAAAGTTCAAGGAAAAGAAACAAAATCATGTGCAAGAATTTACTAAAGGTCGAATCTCAAAGCCTGAGAAAAAAAATTAATAAAATCCAGTTAACACGTGAGACACTGGTCAAAAATCAAATTTGGTGAAACATTTTTAACAGCAGAACAATATGATACAGACTCAGTGAATTATAAGAAAATATATAATGCAGGCTCGAGCCAAGATTTCAGCTCATAAATGATTTGTACCAAACGGTTACATCTTAAAGTGGCAGATGCACTTGATGTTGTTGCTTGACTTGAAACCCAACCACTTCAGCCCAACATGTTGGACACAGATGTTCCTTGTAATCAATTGTACATCATATAAAGTGTTCGAGATAAATTATTCAAACATATACAATGTCATACTTCCCGCAGAAATTTATTTCACTAACAAAGAAGCTCTTCTTCTGTCAGTTTTTATAACATTATGAATTTAGTTTTGTCTGCAACTCTAATGATACATTTAACTCATAATGCTAAAGCATTAAACAGAAGTGAAATGCAGAGAAGAAAGGGGTGGGAGACTCCTTTTCATTCAAAATTTTGACACATGTATAGTCTGAGCTCTGGTTTTCTATTCCAGATGGCTTCATACAGGCAACTCCATTATCTTTCAACGAAAACATTAGTTGTAGATAGTGAATTTTGTTGCTCCATCAATGGATTTAAATTCTTTGTCCGGATGTTGCATTATAGGTCATTCCTCTTTGCTTCATTGTAAGTTTTGGTTTCTTGTCAGATTGGGATGAGATGGCAGTAAATGGTTACAGTTTCCGCACTCGAGTCTGCATTTGGTAGGTCAAATACCTTGTTGAAATGACTGAGATGAAGACCAACAATCAAATTGGATGGAGTCCACAAATTCATAGACTTTTACACAGTTTTGTAACTGCATAAATGTAGGAAACTTAATCGGAAGGCATAAAGGTGTACCAAAAATTTTATAATTTCACAAAAAGAAAACAGAATTAACTAATAAATAGACTCGCTAATTCCAACACACAAGTGAGCTAGTAGCTACGAAAAGGATGTTAGACAAGAATTGAAACTAAATTCCTCCATCGGTTTGGCCTCAACACTTTGACTACCATAACAAAGTTTCTTTTTCAGTCCTGAACAAGTTCCCTTAGCTGCTTTAGGGTAACACATTTGCTTCAAACATGATGTCAATCCCGTTTCATAATATCTAGGTCTAGGACGTCAAGCGACTACAATACTTGCCAATTTTCTCACTCTGCAACTTGGAATAGATTCAAGACAGTAAAGCAATTTAGATAATAAACATTCAGCAGTTCCAGCACTTCATAGAAACTTCCAAATTGACTAATATTTTTATCCATCTACTCTAGATCACAAATTCCAAAATCTCTTCAAGTTTGCAACTTCCAATAACAATCATGTCTATTATTTATACAATAATCACAAATGACAACTACCCACACACTGCAACAGCAAATAGAAACTAACATCAAGAAGATAATCAAATTCTAATATTGAAAATTTAACTAACAAACAAACCATAAAAGAAACTAGAAGGAAAACATTCTTAACCAAAAATCATAGTCACTCAATAAAAAATGAAAGCAGAATACGAACTGATAGCTAAAAGATACACAATATTGGGGATCTTTTTCTTACCGGGCCATTGAATCCGGTGTCTTCAAACATCCAACGCTGGTCGACGGGGACCGAGACTGTTTTATCTTGGCATGAAATTTTGGTTGTTCGATTGGCTCTAAGAACGGAAATTGACGGCTTGGATGTAGCGGCAAGTGAGAATCCGAGAAATGGGGATTTCTTCAAAGAAGATGAAAAGGGTTTCTGAGAGGATTCAGTTAGCAATAGTGAAGATGAAGCGGCGCATTGTACCGCCGTGGCCATTGAGAAGCTTCTCTCTTGCTTTCTCTATGTTTCTCCCTCCAATTGCGAAACTGAAGCAGAAATGAGCAAAGTGGAATAAAATAGTAGCACACAGAGGATAAGGTGCATTTATGGCAATTCTCGGAACTTTAACTTGTTTCTTGCTTGGGAAATGCTATTCATCCTCAATAGAGATGCATCTCCAATTTATGTGGCGTTAATTGATAGGTAAAATTAAATAAGTCATTTAATTTCATTTATCATTTAACTAATCATTTACATCCACATAAATTGAGGATACATCCCCACTGGGGATGAATAGCATTTTTCTTCTTACAAGGACAGTTTATGGAACTGGGGAGAAAGAAAATGAATCTAAGCAAACTGAATTACTTACAACTTGTTTTATTGGAAATTATCAATTAATTGTGTTTGATTAGTATAATTTTTAACTTGAAAAATATTGAAATTTTAGATCTTTTGGTGTTCGTTTGGCTTTGTTTTTATGAAAATTGTCCATTAAAAGAATATATTTTGTTACAATTGATAATATAATTTGTTTCCATTACCAAAAAAATAAAAAAATAAAAAATGTTACTTAGAAAAGCATTTCCCACCAAACTCATAGGAAAAACTTTTCTTCAAAAATTAAGAAAATGTAGAAAACCAATTCCATAAAAAATTTAGTCAATCAAACGTGCAAAAAGATGGAAATATAATTTAATTTCCATTTCCATGGAAAATAATACCAAAGCAAACAGGGCCTAAGTGACTTTTACAATAAACATTTTTCTTGTTAAAACGTCAAATTAAATTATAAGCATCTTATAACGAAATTAAATTTATTTGGGTCTAAGAAGATTATAATGAGAGAAGTAAGCATATGTCTCCTATCGATAATAAGTGAATATATAATTAAAATTAAGATTTTGACTGAAAATTATGCATTACATGGAGAGCAACTTTCATATAAGTTACTACAAACTATGAAAAAAGAAGCAAGCACTCGTGCTATTCTATTTTTACCTTTAGATAAAATTGTACCATCCACACTATACTTTATCTCAACATCTTAAATTAATGAAGGATTCCATTGTGTGCTGCCCTCCAAGAGAATGAAGGATTCCAATGGGTTAGTGATTAAAGTTTAAACTACCCGTTTTCATACATTCCCATTGTCTTGTTTCTAATGGGTTTTAGCACCGTTTGGTTTTTGTGAAAATCAGAATTTTAATAGATTTTGATCAATATTGATAAAATATATAGTTGAGAAGTAGATAAAAGTTGGGGTCCCAAAAGTCAGATTTTCAGTAAATTTTGATAAAAATCGATAAAATATGTGATGGAAAAGTTGATAAAAAATGAGAGAAAAAAATGAATTCCTATGAGTGAAATGAGAAGCGGCGCATTCTGTATGTATAATTTCTGTCTTAAGACTCTGGGTTTTGTTTTCCTTATTTCACTTTCTCAAATCTCTTGAACGCATCTCAACAATGATGTTATGTCATCAACATATCTATGGGAAGCATTTTAGCAGTCCCTTATGCAGCAAATAGTTCTCCAAGCATGCATAGTTCACAAAATTAGTCTCACTTTCTCAATCTCTTGAATGCAACTCAACAATGATGTTATGTCATCAACATATCTATGGGAAGCATTTTAGCAGTCCCTTATGCAGCAAATAGTTCTCCAAGCATGCATAGTTCACAAAATTAGTCTGCTAACTGGATCTCCTGGCCGCAACTCCATGAAATCATGGTTTTCAATGCTGAAGAATCTATAAATGTTGACAG